ACCCTTCAAAGACTCAAAAAATATCCTGTGGTGATTTTGATCTCTAATTTATATATTTTGACAGAAAATAATTCAATCTATGACAATCACCAACTGTTATGGTTTGAATCTGAAATGGCCCCTACTGGTTCATGTTTTGAATGAAGTCTCTAGTTTGTGGTTCTTTTTCAAGGAGGAAGGGACTTGCTGGACAAAAGAAGGTCTTTAAAGGCAGGCCTTTGAGGGTGTGTCTCCAGATGGAGCCCACTGTCTCTCTCCAGCTCACTTCTCTTCTTCTTCCTCTTGGTACCACTGAAACAGCAGCTGCCTTGGCTCTTTCTCAATGAGGACCTTAAATCACTTGAAACTATGAGTCAAAATCTCTTTGTTTAGTCAGGTATTGGGTCATGGTGATGCAAATGTAGCAAACACATCAACTATATTCTGTGTGTTCTTATGCTAAAAGACAGTATAATTGTACAGATTTCCTATAAAGAAGGACCCAGAATCATAGGCAGAACAAAGGGAAGCAGAGACCACTGAGTGTCATGGAGGAAGGCTGCATACTTTTATGCAGTGAGTCTGGTAAAATCAAATCACTCAATTTGAATGCAATATAAATAGTAAGAGTCATGGAGGAAGGCTGCATACTTTTATGCAGTGAGTCTGGTAAAATCAAATCACTCAATTTGAATGCAATATAAATAGTAAGAATGATAGAGGAGACCCTCTCTCTGTCTGTGTCTGTCTGTCTGTCTGTCTGTCTGTCTGTCTGTCTGTCTGTCTCTCTCTCTCTCTCTCTCTCTCTCTCTCTGTGTTATGTGTACATGCTGTGTAAGTCCCAAATACACTCTTGTTTCTCATTGGACTACCCAGATTCTCAGATTGTATCTGGAAATATATGTATGGAATTATAAATAAGTGAATTTAGGTTTCAGCAGAAGTAGCTGTATTAACTCATACTAGCTGAACCTGACATAAAACTCCATGAAACAGACAAAAAATGACATGTAAATGCATGGAACTGAGGGACCTACCTTCCCCCTCCCCCATAAATAATAATGTACAGCCACATTCTCCAGCCAATTGCACTTCCTAAGTACTTTGTTTGACATTTTCCTGCAATGAATGGAACCCCTACCAGCATCATTAGCTTTGCAGGATTTCCTCCTGGGAATGGGCAAAGTAGCTGCCAATTCAAACTCGCCTGAAGATAGGGGGCAAAGTAAAGAAGCAAAAGATGAAGAGAAAACCAAATCCCTACTGTACCTTTTGGATGTTTTCTTAGCAAAGGGAAAAGGGGAAACAAACATCACAGTTCTTAGACACAGCAGGGAGAGTAAACTGGACCCTTAAGTACACATGGCTGTGATAAGAACCACCCAATACAGAGAGAACACAATGAACCAAAAAGGTAAGAGAGGAAACATCATGCCAGCTTTTGTGGGCTATTGTCTTACATCACCAGAAATGTGCATCCAGACATGTGGGCTGATAGGTCCACTAATTTTTCAGTGCTGTGAACTTAATCAGCTGGCCATTTTCCAGGGATTTTTCTCATTCAACTTCTTATTGTAATTTGCCTTTACCCACTGGATATGACTGCCCATACCTGCAGCAGAAGATGAACAAGTAGGATGTTCACACACACCCAGACTCTAGGTTTTAAACATGCTTTTCTTTTTCTTTGTGGAAAAAGTAATCAACAGCTGCCTACATTCTCTGTTACTTTTGACTGAGGCAAACAATGAAAATCTACTGAATACACAGGGCTGTGCAGTCTTCTAAAAGGTCCCTGAACTACCTACAATTGATTTGTAGTACTCTTGCTACCTGTGTAAAGCAGTAGGAAATCAGGAGGCAGATGTAAGAATATCATGGCACTTCAGGAAATTAATCACTTATGAGTTCTAAAGGTAAAGAATTGGAGGGTGAACAGTCAAGACACACTGATCAGACTAGTTTTAAAGTAAGCACAGAACAGAGAGTTAGTGTCACAAGTCTCCTTTTGCCATGTCTTAAGTAAGACTGAGTGTAAAAGGGTTTCAGGAAAACTCTGTTACCAAGTACTACAAAAACAAGCAGTACCATAGACACAGTCCTAGAATCTGAGCTGTCATTATCTTGTCAGTGTTCCACAAATCTTTGATTATTCATCAGAAACTGTGAAGTGGTAAATGGGGAAGAAGATGAGATAGGTAGGACACCATAAGTATCAACACAAAGAATGACAAGGCAGAGGAACGTCAAAGACAGACAGCAATGCACGTGTGATAAACATGAGTTTTGTGATCTTGTGAGGATATCTGGAGCCCAAAAAGTTATTTCAACAGTACACACTGGGGAGGTCCCCAGTGGTCACCCAACATTTCAAATTGACCTCTAGTTGCTCCCTGATGCACCATTACTGTACTTTCATAATTTAAATCGGTCTCACCTCCACCTGTACAGCCTTTCCCAGGTGGTTCATCTAGCTGAACCCTGCTTCCTGACGTCTTTGTTTCCGATCCACGTCCTGATCCCTCTCTTTGCAAATCAGTCTTACTCTTAGTAGCACACTTGTTTGTTGGCTGAATTTTACTAACAGTAATTATGCTTTATTTATTTATTTTTTGTCTTCCTTTGCCTGACCTTACAAAAAGCTTTGGTGAAGAAATCACAACATCTGGGCTTTGTCTTGTCCTTAGTGCAGTCTTATATGCCCTTGGTGAAGAAGCTTGAAAATCGGAAAGATAATCATCAGGTCTGGCTATGTTGATTGGGTATCCTCAGTTCTCCAGGGAAACCAGCTAAACTGTAGAGTTCAAAGCATTCATTTGCAGAACAGATTGTGAATTCTCTCCACATCAGGGGATGTTCAAACTACATATGCAAAATAGTTACCAACAGTAAACACCATACACACCTCTTTATTAGAGAAGCCTGATTAAATTCTTACTCCTACCAGCCTTTGCTCCTCTTTCCTCTGCTATGGAAGAACTTCGTGTAGAACGTCAACATTTTCTCTATTGCCTTAATCTAAACCACAGATACCTCTGTTCCTTGAGAGGGACTGGATATGGATGGAGGTCTGATCATTCAGGGAGAGGGGTGTGAATACTGACTGAAATTTGAGTGGGAAGATCCACTCTGTGACAAGGCAGGACATAATAGAATTAGGGATGTATGCCACTTAAAGTCTAGGAGAAGGTCAAATCAGGCTCTGTGCTGATGTGGAATGTCTGCTGAGGACAGAGGGTGCAGAGGCTTAGGTTTCAGAGCTTCCAAACAGTCTGCTATTGACAGGCACGTTTCAAGGCAATTGCAATGAATCCTTGAAGGTGTTTTAGCTCACTTTATGGGCTGTGGGATTCAACCCACTCAGTCTGTGCATAAATTGGACTGGTGTAACAGTCATAGGGTTAATGGTCTACAGAGAAAGTGGAAATGCATAGTTAGTAGAGAAAACACTCTCCAAACTGATCAAATGAGGATGGAAATTGGCATAGAACCCTTGACACAAAGATGAAAATTTGGCCAGCACAATCATAATTTCATACACTTTCCCATAATGCATGCAACAATGTAATAACTGCATTTCTTTGTGCAATGAACTCTTGTTAAATTGATATAGTTTTATTCAAAACAGCATGAATTTGAAGTAGCTTTTTCTCCCTAGTTGACTTAAATGTCTTATTGCTCTTAAATAAAATATAAGATAATATATACTTAAAGTTATTTTTTCACAGCTCCTTTAATATAGAATTAACAAGGTGTTCCTCAATTATTTAGGATTTTCTAGTAAAATGCCTATATGCTTCACAAAAATAATGGGAGTGTGTCCATAATTCTCATCTGACAAGTAGTATACCTCCAATTCTGAAAGTTTCAGATACCTTTTTAGACAGTGGAGCCTGCCATTTGTATTGTGATCGTATCTACAGTGAATCACAGCTGAAATCCAGAGATGTGTGACCCATGGATGGGCCTGGGTTCTGGTGAAGATGGAAGTACAGCAGTGCCACTGAGATGTCACTTTGGACAAAGCAACAATCTCAGAAGGAACTATGAAGGGATGCATTGAAAATAGCATGGAACTGCAGCTGCTGGGAGACAGAGCAAGCCTGTGGGAATGAGTTAGCAGTGGTCTAGGGCTAGACTTGCATTGTCTTCTGCACGTTTTGTGGTGGGTATTACTGAACATCAATCATTTTATTTATACAGTATAATATCAGGCTAAAATTTATGACAAGGGTACCAAAGTAAGAGTACCAAAAAAATCCAAGTCCAAAGACAGCTGTGAGGAAACAGCAATGTTCAATTGCTCAATTTATTCTTTCCTCAGTGCACACATGGATCAAAACATCCCATTGCATATACCATAAATTTCACTGTAAATTTATGACACCTCCAAATAAAAACAATGGTACTCATTCACAGGATTATTGTGAAGATTGAGGGTTATTGTGCAAAAGTGTTTTCTAACTTGTTCATTATCCTTTGGATACTAAACAAAATGGAAGGAAAAGTACATTTTTCAACCTATAAAAAGTAAATTAATTTCAGGGGTGGGGAGTTGGTAAGTTCTGGCAGAACAGGTGTGATGACTAGAATTTGGATCCTTAGCACCCATGTAAATGCCAAGTGGCTTAGTAGACCACCTGTAATTCTAGTGTATGTAACTTGGGGGCAGGGATTGCCTGCGATAAGCTAGTTGGTTAGGAGAGCCTAACTGGTGAATTCTGGGTTCAACTGAGAGACCCTGATTCAACATATAGAGTGGATAGTGATCAAAGATGATTCTGCAGTCAGTGTCTGACCCTACCTTTGTGTATGCCCACTTGTGCATGAACACCTGCATGTACACACATACGCATATACATGCTACATATACAGACATATGTGAAAAAGCTGTTTGTATGTCTTTGTGTGTACGAGTACCACTATGTGTATTTAAATATATGCTGAGCATATCTAATATCTATATGACAAACAGAAACTAGTAGATAAATGAAAGAGAAGCTTAAATTAACAGAGTATTTTATAACCAGCAGTTGGACTTCATTCAATCAGGGGATAGGAACTGAGAATATCTTCAAACAAGGCAACTGTGGCACTGTGACCAATCAGGTCATTTCTATTCTTCGCTTCGATCTTCCATGACCATGGCAGTCAGCATTTTCAGCGTAAATCCTCAACCTCTTGTGTGTCTGAGAGCTGCCAGTTCTCCTGTCTCTCTTCGTTCAGTTTTACTTTTTTTTTCTGGTACTGTGAATGAAACTTTGACCCTTATACATGCTGGACAAATACCCTACTACTGGACTACAACTTCAATTTGCAAAATTGTTTATCTGCTGAAAAGTTTCTTTTTAACATCTGAAAATTGAAAGAGAATTAAAAGTTACAAGTCACTATTCAAAGAATGGTGTGCGAAAACATTTCCCCAGTGTATGTGTAGGTGTGACTGTATTTCAGTTATAATACATAATCAGTAGCACAAAATGACTTTATTTTTAATATAATTTTCCATATTCTTGAACATCTATATTCTAAATAAAGGAAAAAGAGGTGTTGATTTAATCCCAGAATCACAGACAACTTTTATCAGAAAAATATTTTTAAAGCCATTTGCTGGCAAGTATGTAGTACTAGCTGCTGGCATTTTTGTTACCTTGCCAGGGACTGAGAATAAAGTGTGGAAAAACATATATGCAGATAAGAAGCCAATATGTAAATTTTTTAAAATGTGTAGAGAGGAAGGAAACAGAACTCTTTACTACACAGTAAAGATTATAGAGAGGTATTAGGGGGTTGAAAGACATTGTTAGGAACTGAGATCTAGAATATCTGTCTCTTATAAAGATTTAAATAAAATATACAGTAATTCTTCATATATATGAAAAACTAACCCTGTAACAGTCAGTGCTGATGAGAGGCCTTCCTTAGCACATCATTGTTTAGAAGCACCTCAAACCATATCTTCAAACTCTGAGAAGTAACTAATTCTATGCTGCTTCTTGAAATGCACGTCTTGCATGAGGCTGAAATATAAACAAAATAAATGTGAATTTATGTGATGTCCTTGATATTTTGGAGTCTGCTTCAAATGGGCATTTGATTTAGGTTGGCGTGATCCTTCATTTTAGGGCTTCAAGAATGCTGCTCTTTTTGCTTATACGGTCATCAGCACTCAAGATTACCTGTCAAACAGGCATGTATGTTCCTTGGTCAAGGGGGTTGGCTGTTCACACATAACTTGTGCTCTGTGCATCCACTGTTATATGACAATCACCTATGAAACTGTGGATTGAGAGACCAGTGACTTTGATTTGCTTGCTTATTTGTTTGTTTACTTGTGCCATGAGTATGTCACTGGCTCCTGTCAGGGACCTCAGAGTGACTGAGTCCATGGTGGAAGCAGGACAAGTGAAGCCCTGCTGGGGCATCTCTCTGTGTCTTCAAGTAACAGCAGTACTTTGTAGTGTTTACTTGCAAGGCCATGCAAATTTAGCCCTTGGGCAGAGTGTCTCAGGAGGCCAGTATTCCAGGGAGGAAATATTCCAGGGAGTCAGAGCCAAAGATGCAGTCTTCCTTAGATGAATTAGAAAGGTATTTTAATATTCTAGCTAATTCCTAAGCATCCCAGAAAAAATTTGCAATCACAGACACACAGACATAGACACACACACACACACACACACACACACACACACACGAGGCCAGCTCTGGTCAGCTACAAAATCTTCCACGAATCTTTCCATCTTGAAAGATCTGGATGACTGTGATCCTTTCTAATCCTTTATGCAGTTCATGTGTTTCCTGCTTCTTCAAACGAATTGATTATGTTTTATTACAATATCATGCCATTATACTCAGTTCCTATCACCCTCCCCTGCCTCCACCATCCTGGTGATGCCCTTCCTCCTGCAAGTACCCTCCCTTCTACTTTCATAACATGTACCTAAGTCTACATCCCAGAGAAAAATGAAAACACAATATTTGAAAACGTTGATTATTAATTTTAGTTACCAATGTCACTAGATTGATGTCTACCTAGGAGATAAGCAAGTCGAACCTGTGGATGTGTCTGTGAGGTTTTTCCAGACTGGGTTAACTGGGCCTGAGACCTGCTCAGAATGGGCAGCAACACCATCACATTGTCTAAGAGTTCAGGTGGAATTAAAGGGAAAGGATCAGCCTGAAGAGCAGCTGTTGTCTCTCTGCTTTCTGGCTGTGGTGAGGTAGCTGCTCTGCCCTACCATTCCCTTCTGGTCCTCAAACTTCTCAATACATGAAGCACACTTAAAACATCCCTCCACTGAACTTGCTCTTATTGGTGTTTTGTCACTGTGATAAAACTAGCACACATTGCAGTTTTCTTCTTAGGTTAAAAAAGGACTCTGGCATAATTTATAAAAATAATATCAGAATTAGTAGATATTTTTCATGATCACAATTGCCATTCTAATGAGTCCTATCCGGCAGATGATGATTGACAATTTGCATAGAATGAAACTTGGGAAATGTTGTGATTGATTTGATATCATCAGGTGAGAAATGCCCCAGAAATTATTTGGCATTTCTTCAAAGGACCCATGAGCATCCGTGATGTTGCAGTGGGTGCTAAGCAAAACAAAATGGAATGAAAGGATGACAGAGTTAAAGGATGGCAACAATGGAGAAGAGAATAACTTATAGGTAATGGAACAGGTAGTGGGAAAAGGGACTCAGGAAGAAGTAATTATTCTTGATGATAGTTCTTCGTCTTAAGGAAGCAATACTTGAAAAATAAACAGAAGTGACTTATCATTTTACATACTATACTTTCTCATCAGCGAGCTATAGCTACATCTCTGCCCCTTCCCCACATCCTGGCTTGGAAGAGCAATTGTGCAGAAGGCATTTGTTTTGTCATAGTTGAGATTGGGTCATAGATCAGGAAAATAGGCTTATTTGCTATGAGGACCACCTGGATGGCAACACTTTCTTGAAAGCTGTCTCCAGACCACATTGTCTGAAGGATCCAGGGTGTCCTAAAAATCTTACTTGTCAGTTGTACCCAATACCTGATGTTGTGCAGAGAGCCTGTGATCCTTAGTCCCTCAGAAGACAATCACATGGAGCCATGTTGGGTGATACTATCTGCAGAGAAGTGCCATACAAGCAGTCCTCATATCCCAGGTGCTGTTCTTGCTCTTTGCTGTAATAATTCCTGTTATCTTCATAGTAAATGAGGAAAGAAATGATTATCAATTATAACCATATTAGGAGTGGGTAAATGGAGACACTCAATTGAAATCAGATATTTTCAGTTACAAGTGGCAGAGGTGAGATACCAACCCAGTTGGGTTGAACCCTGAGTTAGGGTTCTTCCATTACCTCTAAAAGTCTCATGGTACACATTAGTAAATGATAACTGACCTAGAGAGAAAGACTTCTCTTATTCAAGTTTCACCTTCATGATAGTAATTATGACTTTGAGGAGCTTTTAATATTTTAAAACATTTTCACCCATAACTTTGGCTTTGTAGGGGGACGGGACAACCTGAGAAGAGACAGAGCCTCGAAAATGTGTCAGATGCACAGGCCCTGGTCTCAGGCACGGTTTCAGATGGCCTCCATGGGACGCTAAACAGATGTACTATAGTACTTTCTGTCACCAGCAGGGTGAGGCTGGGTTAGTGATGAAGGGGGAAGGGGTGTCATGGCATCACAATTCAGCTGACAATGCACAGGAGTCAGGTGAGACAAACAGTTGTCACTTGAAAAGTCAGTGTATGGTCCGAGGCATGGAAAAATGGCAGAGACAGGATTGGAATGGCTGTAAACATGGTATTTTGGTCTTGGAATGATAGCACTTCTAGACCCTCTCTCTGTGAAGGACAGAGCAAACGATGCTTCAGTAGCACAAGGGACATGATGCTACAAGGAGTTAAGTAAATTCACTTGAGATGTGGCATTTGAGAAACAGTAAAAAGATGCAGAATTTTCATTTTTATTTAACAAGGACTTACTGGTGAAACTATGGGAAACATACAAAACCACAAACTGGAAGATAACCAGCAGCTTAAGTCTCCCTATTTGTATATGGCCAGCAGTTACTATTTCTTACATTTTCTAGTAACTTTTGAGTATGTGGCCAAATGCATGCTATCATACAGCACTAATATTGTATACTAAAGTTGTATTCTGATGGACTTTTTATTCAAAACATTTTATAAAGTATTATATTGCGAAAAATACTGTGATAATATATTAAATTATGCCATTCTGTGGGCATATTTAATGAATTATATAATCTCAATATTTGTTTTTTGTCTTTTTATTTTTTAATTTAAATTAGAAACAAGGTTGCTTCACATGTCAATTCCAGGTCCCGGGAAGAGAGGCTGTATGAGTCTGGTGTCCTCGGTAAAATAAGCCTTATAGAAATATATACATATATACGTGTGTGTGTGTGTGTGTGTGTGTGTGTGTGTGTGTGTGTGTGCGTGTATAGCTATGGGTAATACTTAAGACAGAACTAGCAAATGAGAAGCCACAGACATTGGCTGATAGCATTGTCTCTGTGTGTTATTTGGGGGTTAATGCGGCTCTGGGACCAGGCTGACGGGAAGAATGCTTGTTACAGTTTCTTGAAACATGAGGAACATCAGTGGTGAGATGCCACTTCTACTGTCCAATAGATCTCAGACTAATAACAGATTCATTTTAAAAAAGAAAGCAATTATTGAAAGGACACATTTTATTCTCAAATGCATATTATGTCTTTCCAAGTTAGTGTTAGTATGTGTCTCACCGTTCTGAATGAATTAATTTGGTGACAAAAAAATGCTGGCATGAATGCCCAAGGGGCACAACTCTTCCCTTCAGTCCATCATCAAACTCTTGCTCCTTTGACTCTGATGTGATACTCTATCCAGGACTCTGAACCCCAAGCAAGCAATGTAAACGTTAATGACTTGGTGGCTCAGTACACAAAGGAAAGCAGAAGTTCTACCATTTTATAGAGGTCCTTTGGTACCATTACATCATGCATGAAGTGGGAGGGTCCAGCTAAAAGATGATGGTTACACTTCTGCATCTGAGAGAGATAAAGCTCTCTCTCTTTCTATTTCCCCCCTCTTTGATCTTTCAAGCCAATAGTAGCTTGGGGAAGTTTCTCTGAACCACTTAGTATCTCCTGGAATACTCTTTCTATCTCTTCCATATTTAGATTTGATTTCTACTGCAAGCACAATAACTAAATCAAGAAATTAAGGGCAAAAATAGAAAAAAAATAGTTAAAGAAAGAATTGAAGCTGCCTTTATTTATGGTTTTCATAAGATACAGGCCTGATTTTGTTATTTTGATTTTTGATTTTGATTTATTATTCTTATTTTGATTACATTGCTTGGGTTAAGAATCTTATTTTGTTATTTTTAAATTTTTATTTAATTTAATTATCTTTTTTGTTTATTTTACAAGTTTTCCTCCCTCCTCTACTCCCATTTCCTACCGCAACTCCCATCTACCTGCCTCTCCATTTCCTCCTCTTCCATCTGCATTCGAAAAGGGGCAGGCCTCCCATGGGCATGAACAAAGCATGACAAGTCCAGTTGAAGTAGGATTGTACTTTTCCCTCTGTGTAAAGGCTGGGCTACATAATTCATAATGGGGAACAGGTTCCCAAAGCCAGTTAAGTGTCAGGGACAGGTCCTGGACTCCCTGCTAGGAACTTTACAAACAGACCACACTACATAACTGTCACACACACATGAAAAGTGCCTAGGTCAGTCCTTTGCAGGCTCCCTAACTGTTGGTCCAGAATCCATGGGCTCCTGTGAGCTCAGGTCAGCTGTCTCTGTGAGTTCCTCCTTCATGTCCTTAATCCTCCTGACTCATAACAATCCTTCCTCCCTTTCTTCAGGAGGACTCCTGCAGTTCATGCCCAGTGCTTGGCTATGGATCACTGCATCTGCTTCCATCAATTACTGGGTAAAGGCTCTCTGATGACAATTAGAGAGTACCTGATTACAGTAAATGACCAATTCATGGAAGATGCTGATCTTTGCTTTAGCACTGTGACAGAAATCTCATTCATTTTCCACTTGTGAGGTCTTTAGTTATTAATATGTATCTCATCTATTTTTACCCTAATTTAATCTCTGAGAGAAATTCTCATGGTTTTTTAATTCTTTGCGTTATCACTGCATTAGGAACAAAATAACCCCCATGAAAAAATTGGTGGGAATACATCTAGAGAGAAGTAAATACAGTGCTTGTAACATTAACAAAAGTAGGAAACATTTATGAAATCCTGTGGTCAAAGCCCTAGTGATTTCCCAACAATACCCCTGGAAAAGGTTACTTGTTACATTCTGTATCTAGGAAATAAATGGTAGTGTCCAGAAGTCACAACACCACTAGCAAATTCTCAAATAAAACCAAAATGGCTGAGTTCACTTAACTGTCTAGGAAAGCCAACCAACATACAATTAGTTTCTCTTTCAGACAGTTATTTTTTAATCATTAATTTGAATTAAAGGCTGCACAAGAATCTCTCTTACTTACCTGGCAATCTCAAGTACTCCTAAATCAGAAACTTCTTGAGTGATGGCATTCCAGTACATCAGCAGAAACTTTCCCACTTGACATTTAATGGGTTATGATCAAAATGAATTTGCACTGGAAATGTTGTATAAAATGCCTTTGGGCTGTTTGACAAGATGCATATAAAATAGGTGACTCTGATGTTAAGACACTGATCCCTTCTCAAAGGTATCTAATTATGTATGTGCAAATATTGCAAAGGCTGGGACACATCTGACATCTGAAACACAGTCCCAAGCATTTTAGATGAGGGATAATTGATCCATGTTACTAAGGTCCATGTGCACTAAATTACAAAAACAAAGTTAATTATATATTTAACTTCCTTAAGACTCTGAATTCCCTTTCTTATAGACATTTAATTGATTTAATCACCCAAATGCAAAAGCAGAAGCAATTTACACTATGATAAGTACTGTCATGGCGCACTGATTGGGTTATCACTGGAGTCACATGTGAGAAGGGGAGTTCTCTTAGTGTTCCTTCTGACTATTTAAGGCCCATAGTTGCTCTGGATTAATTTTACATCTGGATTATGGTTCCATGTGTGAATAATCATAATTAGTAAATAAATCATCACACTATGTTCATGATTTGTTTAATTTTATATTTGATATCAATAAAATTATTAAAACATTGAAAAATAACTTAACCTTTAGTAAGACTACAGGTACATGAAATTTCATTTTAAGTTTTTTCCTTTGTTAATAATAGGAAGTGTAAAGCATGTTTGCTTTGGTGAGCACTTTACATCTAGTGTGATTCTAAGTCCTGTACTGCAAACACCAAAAGAAAATGGTTCCAGTTATTGTTCTAAGCTGGACACACCAATATAAATCTGGATCAAGTTATAAAACACTCCCAGAACTTGGAACAGATTCTTGTGCCTCATTTCATTGCTATCATAAGCCTAACTAGCAGCTTTGAAAATTTCTTTGTTTTGAACTTTATATAGTGTGTATATGTATATATAATCTTATAGTCATCATTTAGTGTATAATGCTTCATTTTCACAATTGTATAGTATTCTATTGCATCAATGACAAATAGTTAATCAGTTTATCTGTTGGTAGACATCCAGATTGCATTGAAATGGTGCTTACATGAAAATGTGTAGTGAAAAATATTATAATATTCAGCCATAAAATCCAAAATTATATGCATTTAAAAATAACAGACCTGAGAGCATGTTTAGGAATAGAGAAATATTATTAGATGATTATAAGATACAAAATGATCTCCCCACAGAGTGCCCTTCCTCAAGCATGGAGCTTAAACCAGGTGGTAAATATCTCACCAGCTTGCTGCAGCTTTTCTTTACCTTACGGGAATATTTACACTCCTCCCTGGGCATGGCTGCCTCTCTTTAAATAGGCTCTGTGGAAGCTCTTGGGCTCCTGAGGCAAATTAAACATGAAATCCTGGAAGAATCGAGAGACTGGCTGTTCCCTGAACTCTGAAGAGCTCTAATTATGCTGTGATGCATTTAAGGTGCTCAATACAGAACAGTCTGCCTGTATTTGGAGATCAGATGCCATGGCCAACATTCCTGGAAGTGCTTCTGTGCTCCCAGAATCTTCATCATGTCCTATTAATGCCTGATACAGCCTTGGGGGTTTTGTACTTCTTATCATGTCTGTTTGGGTTTTGTTTCCCATGGTCAAAGATGTGGCATTTAATGGTGCTGATATCAAATTATGTCTTCACATGAAGTAGGGTAGACTGAGACAACTTCGGTGTCAGGTGACTCAGCAGCTTGCAGGAATTGCACTAGAGTGCAGGTTTTGTCATTAATGAATCCATACTAAAAGTGGGATTCCCTGCTGGCTTGTCTCCTATGTTCTACTATGGGCATTTGTGTGACATAAGTAAGGGGAAAGGAACACAAGTAATATTGCTCTAATGATAGTTACCTATCACCTTTCTAGATGTGTCTGTGGGGAGTTGGGATGTCACAGCTACTGCCTAATTTGTTTGACTTTCTATAATCATTTCCACATATCTGCAATCTAGTTAAAAGCCACCAGTTAGCTTATCCACTTCGATGTGGTAATTCAT